ACGTAAATTCTTTTAATACAGATAGTGGACGTAATTTATTTTAATACAGATAGTGGACGTAAATTCCTTTAATGCAGGCAGTGAACGTAATTTCTTTTAATATGTTTAGATTCATTCATTTCATACGTACCTGGAACATAAGAGAGCTCTGGTGTTCAGAATAAGAAATTACGTCCATTACCCGTCTTAAAAGAAATTACGTCCATTGCTTGTATTCAAAGAAATTACGTCCATTATCTGTATTAAAAGAAATTACGTCCACTATCTGTATTAAAAGAAATTACGTCCATTATCTGTATCAAAAGAAATTACGTCCACTATCTGTATTAAAAGAAATTACGTCCACTATCTGTATCAAAAGAAATTACGTCCACTACCTGTATCAAAAGAAATTACGTTCACTACCGGCATTAAAGGAATTTACGTCTTCTATCTGTATCAAAAGAAATTACGTCCACTATCTATATCAAATGAAATTACGTCCATTATCTCTATTAAAATAAATTACGTCCACTATCTGTATTAAAAGAAATTACGTCCACTACCTGTATTAAAAGAACTTACGTCCAATATATGTATTAAAAGAAGTTACGTCCGTTATCTTTATTAAAATAAATTACGTTCACTACCTGCATTAAAGGAATTTACGTCACTATCTGTATTAAAATAAATTACGTCCACTATCTGTGTAACATGGAATATAATATAGTCACTATTCATGCACACTTCTTATTCATGCACACTTCTACCTACTCGTGTAACATGGAATATAATATATTCACTATTCATGCACACTTCTACCTACCCGTGTAACATGGAATATAATATAGTCACTATTCATGCACACTTCTACCTACCTGTGCTATTCATGCACACTTCTACCTACTCGTGTAACATGGAATAGGATATAGTCACTATTCATGCACACTTCTACCTACTCGTGTAACATGGAATATAGTATAGTCACTATTCATGCACACTTCTACCTACTCGTGTAATGTGGAATATAATATAGTCACTATTCATGCACACTTCTACCTAATCGTGTAACATGGAATATAATATAGTTACTATTCATGCACACTTCTACCTACGCGTGTAACATGGAATATAATATAGTCACTATTCATGCACACTTCTACCTACTCGTGTAACGTGGAATATAATATAGTCACTATTCATGCACACTTCTACCTACTCGTGTAACGTGGAATATAATATAGTCACTATTCATGCACACTTCTACCTACTCGTGTAACGTGGAATATAATATAGTCACTATTCATGCACACTTCTACCTACTCGT